CCTTCTCCTTTTTATCAATGACGTGTGTTCCCTCTTTCAATATGGTGAATCTTTCCTTTTTTGCCGATAACCTAAAAGTGGTTTATTCATTCTCTTCTCCCACCAAAGAAAGCTATATTTCAGCAGTAATTCAAGAAGAAATAAACAAGTTAAACGAATCGACTTTTTCGTGGAATTTGCCACTTGATGTTGACAAAAGTGGATTTATTCACATTGGCCGCTGCCTTAACCTAAATCTGGCTATGAACAAACATACACACACTGAAACCTCTCAACACTGTTCATGACTTGGGTTTGAGATATAGCAACAGTTTAAACTTTAGCGAGCACATTGCATCTCAAGTATCCAAAACTAGAAAGGTCATCGGATTTATAATGATAAACTTCAATAATATCGAGTTGAAATCATTATTATACAGAAAATGTAACTTACCCATTCTTGAATATGGCATTTTAGTTTACAGTAACTGCAGGCAATAATGACCTGATTGAAATTGAAGGTGTTCAAAAAAGATTCACTGAAGCTGTTTTGGGGGTATTCCGACAACAAAGACTATCACCAAAGATGTCAACAACTCAAAGTAGAACCTCTCTGGATCAGGCTTATCGAATTGAACCTTATCTTTATCTACCGGCTTATTAATGGTATTTCCTACTCTTCAGTATCCACTCCTTCATGCTCTATGATTTCATCCCACAATCCACCCAATAAAGAAAATATTCTAGCGATTTCAATAATCCACACAAAGTTACGCCAGAATTTTTTCGTTATTCGCTACTCAGTTATGTGGAACAGACTGCCAGTAAGCCTCCGTTACAGTGAAACTACAACATGGTTCCAAAGTTTCCTTGATGACTTTTTTTCCGAACATGGATTCTGTCACCTATTGAATATCAACGTGTTTAATGATGATTTATACAAACAAGGTACGTCATCTATTTAATTGACTGAAAAGCAGAGTGAAACATTTGAGACATTTCATGTCTATTTTATTTTATTTTTTTTCTATTCATCTTAATATATGAAGTCTTCTTATGTTCGTATTTAGAATGAGGATGCAACGGATATTCTAGTTTTACAACTAGCTACCAGTAGCACCTTCTATATTCGATCGTTCCCAGTCAGATAGAAATCAGAAGTCAGACGAAAAGAGGTAGGAAAGATATATTTGATTCGTTACCAATATATCGAGGATCTTTTCTATAAGCTGGCTAATGAAACGTAGGAGCTGTGTCCCACGTCGTGTTGAAACGTGATCTGGTATGGATGCATGACCGAAAGCCTTCAGCTAAACAAGTCCACTTAAAAAACGTGGTTAGCATCCAATGTCGAACACTTAATGAACTATTGATTTTGGGGAATTATTTACAGCTACAAGAACTATTACTGTTATTAATATCATTATTGGTCCCTTGACACATTAGATATGCTTTTCATCTCTTTATGTCCTTTTAACCATATTCTATTCGTAAACATCCAAAGACTATAACTAAAAATAAAAACAAATTACCCTGTTACAATTAAAAACAAATTAACTTCTCAGATCCATTTTATCTTGACCACATACATATAACACATGAAAATTTATATTTGATTATCCTTTGCAATTAATTGTGACTATGATAGCATCATTCTAAATTATTATTACACAAATGTTTATACTAATACCCAGTTTCACTCTGCATACTGTTACATAAATCTACATGTATTTATCAGAGTGCACTAAAGGATATTTTTTAAATTGCTGATTTACTTCAGAGGTCAATACTCACTACACTATTATTATCACGGTTGGACCCTTTTGTTAGGTGTTCATTTCATTTCTTTCTTTTTTTCATCTAAATAAATATTATCCTTAAGATTATGAAGTTTGTAATTAAGACAATAACTTGTGTTACGCTTAAATCAACTTCTCAGATTTGTTTTATCTTCACTATGCATATACGACTCAGATATACTGATTATCCTTTGCACTTAATTATGACTTTCATGGCATCACTCCAAACTATAAATGCACAAACACTTATTCTAATTTTCATAGTTGAATTCATGAGATAGTTGAAGCTAGACCACCAAGGAAGACGTGGAAGCACTGGACAGTCAATTCGTCTTATTATGGGACTCTTAAGGTTTTCCTTGGTGGTCTAGCTTCAATTGACTCATGCTTTTAACTATGAAAATACTGAAATCTCCACTGTTATAACGTGTGAGTTGGTGCATGTGCCTTACTTGATATATGAACGCCCAATTAGAGAGGAGTGAATTTATTGATCGGAGCTATGATACATAAAATCGTACGAGCAGTCTTGATTACTTGTCAGTCCTGCTATATGCCTAGCCCAGCCAGTTAAGTCCAGAACACCAATAACAGCCTAGACAATATGAATCATTATGCACAAATATACTGGGTTTATATACCATTCAAACAGACCACATCGTACCATAAAATAGAAAATAACATTTGTACAATAATTGGTCAAATATGTCTGTGAATAGGGTGAAAGTAATCGATAGACTGATGATAACTCAAGAATCGTATAATTATAATGAGTATAATAATAGGTCAAAAGTTAAAATAAAGTTAATGATAAGAGGAACACGAATGTGAATAGTTTAGTTACGTAACAATTTTAAAATAGGAAATATGCATATTACATTGGTCCATAAACAGTCCTCAAAAGTTACCATTCATAATTCACCAGGGGATATAACATCCACAAAACCCCTTCTGATACTTATTGTAATGTCATATTTTACCACAATAATAAATTCTTCACTTATTAATTTATTTTGTTTTACTTTTATTACTCACTTAGCGATATATACATGGTTGTTTATTCTTCTTCTGTGTACATAAACACACTTATTAAACTATTTATGTAATTTGCGTCACCTTTATTTCTATTCCCTTAAGTTCTTCCTTAAGTCCTTCCTACCCATAAGATCTTTGTGAATAATAATAATAATAATAATAATAATAATAATAGTAATAATAGTAATAATAATAATAGTAATAATAATAGTAATAATAATAGTAATAATAATAGTAATAATAATAATTTGAATCTGATAAGTCCCACCAATTCGAGATGAATGTAAGAGTTTTGAAAGAGCCGAAGGGACATTTTTTATGTCTAATCACTTTAGATTTATGGCAGCTTACACAGTAGTGTGACCACTCTCTTACGTTGACAATTCATACTTAATTAATTCTCATAAATAATTGGATCATATCACACAAACCAATGAGTCAGATATCAAAACTAACCAAACCAGAAAGAAGCGATCTCAAGGAAATCAACTGGTTTATACAGACTCAGACAAAGATATTAGACGTCGGAGGTCACACAAGTTATTTATTCGAATTTGCATTAAACTTTACCATGCTAAATATGTATAATTATCTGGATAAATTTGTACATAACTCTTTTAAAACCTGATATGTTTGACTGAAACTAGTATTATTGTGATCTGTTGGGATTCCAATTATACCAATTAGTATTGTACCCTTCTGTATCCTGATTTGTTACGAATTTCGTGATTTTTTAGTGCTACTTGATTTACTTCTATTTTCATTGGCTTATTGGCCTTGCAAAATACCATATATCCTATTGTGTATACTCAGATTTCTGTCCTACTCAAAGGACGAAAGCTTTATTGAAAGTTAGCACTCCTTCCTATATAAATCATTTTCTCTTAACTAATTAACATGTTTTTAAGAAATAGGTTACAGTTTAGTTTTGTTTTCTGCTGTTATGTATGAATGATAAGTACTCTATACTTTGATTTTTAGTAACCTCTGTAACCTTATTTGTATTTATTTCTTTGATCAATACACCTACCTGTTGATGAAAAAGCCAACATCGGAACAATTCAATGTTTAGTTTAGTTTCTAACAACAATATCGTACTTCCACACATGTTTTGTCGTGTGAGTTCGGAGCATTTATGTGTAACTCGATAATTGGGTTAGAATCCTTCATGATATCAATAAAAACTCAACAATTTCCACAACCCTATACTGATAATCATCATTTTCTCACTGGTAACTAGCTTCGAGAGACATTTCTCAGAGTTCTAATCAGAGGTCGTGACCAATGGAGTTCCACGGTGTCGGGTATGAGTCAATCACCTACTGAAGACAATGAATGATGGTCGCTCATTATCGTGAATTGGTTGAAGTTAGAAATTAACACCACTGGATCAACGGTCTAGAAGTTAAACGTTAGAGCACGAGACTGAAGGTCCTGTATTCGAGTCCGGCATGTGGGATTGTGGATGAGCACTGTTAACGGGTCTAGCACTTCCAGGTTCTCAATTGTGACCTAATTTAGATCGGTTCATGATCTCAATAAAATCCTAATATTCATTTGAAACCCAGTATATAAATAAGACTATTGATTGGTTATTTATGACTCCAGTTGCTTAGGATGAGTTAAAATCGTACTCATATTTGAATTATATGTTTCAGTAGTAAAACTCGTGTAGATGAAGGCAGTATGAGTACTCTAGATTCTCTTGTTTCCTGGTATCTATATTTGTTCCATGTTAATCATTTCTACCCAGTAAATCTAAAACAATATAGTACTAAATTAAAAATGGTTTAGAATATGTTATACAAAAGAATCCTAATGGACATAACTATGTTATTTGGAACCATAAGTGAATAGTTTAAATTTAATTGTGAACTCTAATGCCCCCATGTTATTGACTCGTCTATCAGCTGAGTTTCATTATTAAACAAATTACCACTTTTCACCCGACAATAGTGATAGAGTAAAAATAGATCAAGAGGGATTTTGTGTAGAATTTAGTATTTTCATAGTTGAAATCATGAGTCAGTTGAAGCTAAACCATCATGGAAAACCTGGAAGCTCTGGCGCGAGACTGGTAGGTCCTGGGTTCGAATCTCGCGAGTGCGGGATCGTGGATGCGCACTGCTGAAGAGTCCCAAAATAGGACGAAACGGCCGTCCAGTGCTTCCAGGTTTTCCATGGTGGTCTAGCTTCAATCGGCTAATGATTTCAACTATGAAGAGTAAAAGTAATATATGAAAAATATTAATCTCTGTATTTCATTAATATGCAATAAATACCATTACATAATAGCTGTTTTGATAAGAATATTGGAAAAGAAAAACAATTCTATAATGAATACTGGCAAATTTGATCAATCTACTTGAATATCAGTAGTAGCAACAATGTGTTGTTCTTTAATTTCTTGAATAAAAAGATACTGAGATCAATGATTGATTGAATTTGAAATTGATCCCTGATATATTTCTATCAGTAGCTATTATAGACTTGTTTTGTACTAATCTTACCGCCATCATTCATTCGTTCAGTGTTCAATTCCATAATGTAGATGATAATAGTTAAGATGATATTGATGAATTATGATTATGTACATGAATAATTCATGTATGTATATACTAATATGTATTTTATATGTATCGTTAATTTACTTTATTATCATTAAAATGTACTTTTTGGACGTGATTCTCTAGGATTTGAATTCGTTCCTCGATGTAATAAATCTGATAATAATGCATCATGTTGTGATGCTACAGTAAATGGTTCTTGTGGTCCATAAACTAATTTATTATTCTTATATTCTGTATTTAAATAACGAGATGATGGGTTTCTATGGACAGTATTACTATTATTGTTACCATGACTACTACTATTATTATTATTATTAGTAGTACTATTACCACTTTTAACATTAGTTGAATATATTTCTTGTTTATAATCACGTGGTAAAGTTGAACTTATTTTTGTATTCATAGGATTATAATATTCTAAATCATGATAAGGATTCAATGTTGAATTCGGTGAATGTTGATCAAATAATGTATGAATTTCATCTGCATTAATATATGGTCTATCTAAAATAGCATTACTTAAAATAGTTGCTATAGGATAATTTGGATTGGTTAATTTTCGACCAATAGTATTAATGATAATAGGATCATAAGATTTATTAAGATGATGTTGATTTTCAATGGATAGATGTGTAGATTGATCAAAGTTATGATCAACTTCATTTCGTATATTTATGTTAGATTTGTTTGATGATTGTACTGTATGTGAATTTTTTATGACGTTTACGCCTAAAACAGAATAATAGATTCATTAGACAAATGAGAAGTTTGAATGAACGAAACGATGCGAAAGTGAGTGACATTAAAATTAATTATTTCTAAGAGATTGACACTTAATTGAAATACTGTTTTCATAGTTGAAAGCATTAGTCAATTGAAGCTAGACCACCAAGGAAAACCTGGAAGCACTGGCCCTATCTAACATCATACAGCCGAAACCAACAATCAGTAAATCGAGTTCTATGACCTTGTCCCTGTGACAAAAAACCAATGATATGCCAACTGACACTAATAGCCTTGAGTTAACTGTAAATCCTTATTGGTCTTTGATACAATAGCTTCTCACCTTGCCCTGATCATTAAACCTAGAACACAACAATCAATATCCACCGTATAAATATTATATTTCAGGTATACTTAGTTTATATACATGTAGATTAGACTGCATCACATCATACAATGAAACAATAATAATTATACAAGATAAAGTCAAAAGTTACTGTAAATAGGAATGACTTTTAATAGCAGATTGAAAGTGAATTAAGTACAGTAAATCGTATAATAGTAATTAATGGGTTAAATGAAAGCTTATGATAAAGGGGATATATATATAGTTTATTTACTTAATAGTTATACAAAAGAATATATATGTGATAATAGTCAACCAATAATTCTGGCATTTACTGTTCATTTAGTCTTTATTGGATATAACATACATAATTCAGTGGAAGCATCATCTATACTAATTATATGCTACGTGATGTTTTACTAACTCCGCCTGTAGCTCCTCTGGGGGTTACTGTCGGTCCCAAGCCCGGGTAAAGGAGGAGGGTTGGGCATGGGGTTGGCGACCCCATCCCGTAGAAAATCAACTTGCTAAAAAAACCCTAACCAGAAAAAAATCATTCAAACCATTTAAACTCTGCCCTGGGAGTAGAAGGAATAATTATGACGTCTCATGAGGCCGAGTTCCTTCGGAAGTCATGAGGCCGATGCACATTGTAACAACCAGAGCAACAATATTTATAGGTACATGGAATGTCCGGACAATGTGGGAGACCGGAAGAGTCTTCGAAATTGCTGCAGAAATGAGAAAATACAACCTGGAAGTGCTTGGAATCAGTGAAATACACATTGATGTTTTACTAACTGAAGCACAATTTACGGTATATAGTAGATCCAATAAAGCTAGCGGTGCAATCTAGGACGCGCGTTTCATTCTATTTGGTACTTTTCAACTGGATGTACCTGCATCACGGAGTTGACGTTCACACTGGGACTCAAACCTACTACCATCTACTTCAAGCGCCATCACGTAATCCATTTAGTTACAGACTTCAGATAGCTACTCAATTATGCAACGGTTATGAGATTTAATTCGTTTTAAAATGGTTTGGATTATCCCATTGTTAATATTTTTGACTGGAACTTGGTCAGTTTTGTTTGGAAGCTGATGAGTCTCAGGTGGGACCTAAAGTTCTTTGTGGATTCCGCGACTAGCTACATTACGTCTGTTCCACATCAACTTGTGTCATAATGTCTAGGTTGTGACAATTTGCACAAGATGTTCATATTCCAGTTTGGAATGGTCGAATTTCAATCGAAAATATTTATAACAGGATAATCCAAACCATTTCGCTATGAATTTAAATTTACGATAGTTTCTATCCTCAGTTATCTTTAGTGATGTCAGAACATGATATATGGGATAAAAACGGACTTGTGTATCGTTTGTCAAGAGAAGTTATCATTCAGAAGACGACGTCTCATTTTCATTTCTTCCAGTCGGTCTCCATAGGTGAGCGACATAAAATTTGAAACAGTAATTATTTAGATAGCAAACGTCAATTAAAACAATTCACTGATTAGAAAACGTTATACTTGGCATTGAAACGAGACAACATTCTAAGAAAAAAGCGATATTAGGAAACAGAAATCTTTTAAATATTGTCTACTGATGTTAGCTTCGAAAGGAATATTAAAGGAAAAATGACACTTCGCTTGTACAGTAATAAGGCTAACATTAAGCAATTATTGGTGATAATAATAATCTCTTCACCGGGACTACCGTCGACTATATAAATAAAATTTTCGACTTTTGCTATATCACAGATAAATGTAGACGTATGTTTTCATAAATTTTATGTCAATACCTTGGGTTCGAATAGCTTGTTGCACAAAAACTACCTGAATTTCTGGAAGGTGTGATGTTCTTCAAAATTATGTATACATTTTACTGATAAGCAGTTAAAGTCATCAACGTTAAATAACAGTATTCTTATCGAGTGATTAGACAGATGAAACTATTCATTCATTCAGTTCAATATCATCAAATGAGCTAATTGTGTTGAGTAAGGTTCAGGAAAAACCGTCCACTACAAATTGTAGAGAAACAAGGTTAACCTATAAAAGACATACTTCTAAAATATATTGAATATCAGTACAGGATTTTGTGGAGATAATAGAGTTTCCATAGTTTTACATCACAAACCAATCTTAGTTAGACCACTATTGAAAATCTGGAAATACTGGAAGGCCATTTCTACCTAGCATGTAACTCTTTAGCAGTGTGCATCTATAACATTGCATACGGGAATCAAATTCAAGACTTTCAGTCTTTCACGAACACTCAACCTATAGAAAACTGGGCCTGGATCCACCAGTGTTACTGTCTAATTTTAATATAGCAAGACTATCGCCCACCACCTGCAATGGATAACTATCTCACATCAGACATTAAACTCCATAACTCTTTTACTTTATAGTATTAAAGTAGTTACGATCAGCACGTGACTGAAAAATTAAAATGTTTACGTTAATAAATTAGAACGACAATAAAACAGTCTCCCCTGAGAATTAGCGCACACCTGTTTGAGTGTAACCTTTCATGCACTAATTACATAAAAAATTTATAGTGTTTTAAAACCATTTTAACGTTTATATGATACTGTAATTATTATCTTACCTTGTATTTATGATATTATCAATACATTAGAAAGTAAACCTGATTTTTCAGTTGATATTTTATCAAAAGCTTCAATTTACGACTGTTAGTGAACAGTTAGCAGACTGAATGACATCACAGATACCATTCATTAGGTAAGTGTCGTTATGCTGGTAAAGAATAGTTTAATACTATCTATTTCTAGTTTTGGCTGATTGACGATGGCAAATTAATCTCTACGGCATGCTTACCAGCCTATATTTTTCAATTAATAAATATAGTATGGTGGCTTATCAGTTTATAATGGCGCCCCACATTGCTAGTCCGAGATCTGGCTCTGACTTGTGTGAACAAATGAATGTATCATAAAAGCTTGACAATGGTAATAAGAAGCCAAATGCAAGTTGAGTTAGATGAATGTACCTCAGGCATTCATTCACTCGAACAGACTAACAATGAGAATTGGAGATAGAGAGGGTGAGAACCCATCTTGATGATGCGTGACTCCTTATTTATAGTCAGAAAAAATAAGCTAAAAACAATGTGATGAATATGTAACGGAGTTGAAATCGCCATGTATGATGTACTAACAGATTCTATTTTCTTTATAATTCAACGTGACCAAGCATAAACTCTTTGGAGGAAGAAGAGCAAGCCTTATGTACACTAAGCTTACAGGATGACTTATAAGACTACTTTGTAAACTGACTTTTCCCGCTGTACTCTCGCGCCTCGCGCTCTTTGATTTTGAAATAAAGAGGATCGTGATTCCCACTCCGTGTTTCCTCTTGGTGTGAAGTCCTTGTTTAACATTATGTGCTGTGCTTTTTCAGATCTGTCCTGCCTTTTTCTGACCGCTGATTCCATGTGTTACAAATAATGTAATCGATACACACGCAATACTCATTAAAACATTCAATGATGTAAGCGGATAATCAACAAGATCAAGATGTGACACAAGGGGGATCAAGCAAACTGAAATAAAACTGTACAATAATTAGACATTGAAAAACACCATACTACTAAATGCAGAGTAAACATATACATCAATGTTTGTTAAAGAAAAGGAGTAAATTACAATAGACATTTACCTATCTCTTTTGTTTCTTCTCTCAAATCAGCATATTCTTCATTATTCATTAGATTATCATCTAATGTATCAGTTAATTGATTACGATCTATTACAGATTGATTAAGTAGAAGAGGATTATTTGAATTTGGAGCTATTCGTTTACTTTTAGTTCGTTTTTTCTGATTTAATTCAATAGGATTGCTATTTGATAAGTCTGTTGTATCAATATCATTATTATTACTAGTAGTAGTATTAGAAGCTATGGTCATGCCAGAATTGAATTGATTCTCTTTGCAGATATTCAGTTCGTCAGTAGATTTCATTGTTTCTGCAATATTAGAAGTGTTGTGAACTGATAGTTCTTGATCAAAAGTTAGAACAAAACAAAACAAAACAAAACGACTTAAAATATTGTCTTACAGTTTTTGATTTAATTCTATTAAGTTTAAAAAAGTGTACAGTTATTCATTCTACTAACAATTGTTATTCAGTAGTACTGTGGTATGTACTATAGTGCTGTGCTTCACTAATCGTTCACCTCGATAACCGTTATAATACAAATCTTAACTGTGAATAAAATCAAAAGGCGAAGAAAAGCGGCAGCTACAGTTTTATTGACAAATGACGCAGCGAGTGAAACAAAAATGACATGCATTGGAGATGGCGGTTAAGCCAACTCACTTTTATCAAGCCTTAATCAATATTTATAGTCAGACATGTCATAAATAGGGTAAGGAGTGTACACACACCTACGCTCACATAAAAAGGGTCAGAGTTAATAAGTGAATAGTTAACAAGATGAAAACATGACTAATGATGGTTAGGTGAATGAACTTATCCAGAAGTTAGAATAAGGCATATGGGATTAACATAACTACAGCACTATTTAAGAGAACATACACAAGTAGTACGTAGCAGGAATTGGAATATTTATCAAACAGAATAGTGAAATAAAGAGAAGAGGAAGGAAAACCAAGAACAATCAAGATAATAACAGGATTAGAAAAATGATGAACCGTATTAAAGACAACTGAAGAAAGAGGTGAAAACGATGTACTGAATGTATGATTTTCGTATTTTACAAAGCTACTGTTTCATTTTGCATTAAGTATAGATTGGTTTTTCGCCACCTTAGTTTATATTAACTACATTAGTGGTGTTGAAAGGTCCCATTAATAGTTCATATATTGATCTCCAATTCATTTATAAAATACTCTGATTAGTGAATTTCAGCCTTGTCGACAGCATCAAGCTTTATCGTAAAGTGATTGAATTTGAAGATATGAAGTATTGAGTAATAACTCAATAGTTTAAAGATAATGTGTTCACTAAAAGATGGAGTTTCTGGGTATAATCCTGATAAAGTTGTAAATATTTGTTCTATGTTATGACGAAAAGGTCTTCCAGTTCATGGTTTCTTAAATGATGTCAGTCAGTAACAAAATCATGTCCAGGTTGTGCAGAGTGTTGAATCTCCTTGAAAAAACAAACCGATCAATGTCAGACCATTGTTGAAATTTGAAAGCGCTGAAAGGCCGTTTCACCCTTGAATGGGACTCTCAAGTAGTGTGAATCCATGACACCGCATATAGGAATCAAACTCAGGACCTTCGAATTCCAGAGCAAACGATATTCAACCCCAATGAATTTACGACATGGCACAACTATCTTCCGTTGCCTTGGATACATAACTGTCTCTCACCTCCTCAGTTCTTTTAGGTTTTCAGTGTTGGTCTAACTTGGACCGGCTCTTGATTTAAATGATATCCAAGTTAAATATACCACCACAAATGTACAAAGATCAGATGAATGGTCAAGGGGTTAAACTAAGCAACACAATGCCAGCCAAAATCAACTTAAATGTTCGTCAGCTTGACTTGATGTTGACTGCTACTTCAACTACAAGTTAAAAATAAATAAAATTTGCGAGATCAACTGAAAAGTAAGTAAATAGATTACAATATGGATTTTATTTCTGGACAAATAGAATTGCCTAGATATCTTTATATATCTTATTGATTACTTTTCCTGAGACGGATTTACTGAATTCTTCTCTGTTTCGGTTTACTGACAGTCCCTATTTAAGCAAATTAGGAAACAGGATTTCCACTTCAAGTGTTAAAGACCGTTTTGTCAAAATGAATAGATTAAATAGATGCAGTTCATCAAAGATTAAAGAGAATTTTCGCTGTTTCGACAGATGATAATAATTTCTCAAGGAATAAACTTCAAATAATAGTAATCAACTTCATTCCGAGTAAAATTGAACAGTGGGAAGGATTGAAATACAAGAATTATGTATTCTCTTATTTATCATTTATAAAGTGAATGCACTTTACAAATGAGAAACATCCGACTCCATCAGTATTTTTCATCAACCTCCAACTGTCTATATTTCATCAAAGAAATTATCGTATTCGACATCAACAGTTTAATTATAAACAAGCAGATTATTAATCTGCTTGAGTAAAGCACACAACTGCGTCACAAGACAAGCCACCACATGGAATCCTGAAGGTCAAAGGAGAAGAGGAAGACCAAAAAACACATTACGCCGATAGATGGAGACAGACATGAGGGGAATGAACAGAAACTGGATAGAAATAGAAAGGAAGGCCCAGGACAGATTGGGTTGGAGAATGCTGGTCGGTGACCTATGTTCCATTGGGAGTAACAGGCGTAGGTAAGTAAGTAAGTAAGTAAGATTATTGATCTTTAAGGAAAGGACTCTAAAGAACCATTAAAACTAGAAGTATTTACGTCCCGAAGGTACAGCTGGATATTTCAATCTTTGAAGTTTATCATATGAAAATTCATGCAGTATTGATTAATTCGCCGAAAATTTTAAAAGTATTGAAAATATGATGAAATTAAAAAAGCGCTGAGAGAACAGTTAACTAAATTTCTGGCATTATTTATTTCAGTGAACAATATCTGTATGACTTTCTACTCTATCCACCTAACTAATGAGTTAAGATAATAGCAGAAATAGGTCCGTTTTCGTATGAACTACAAGAGTTCCGTCAGGAAAGGTTAAATAAAACTATCTAAATAATTCAAAGTGTTCCTGAGGGATTACACCTATCATGAAATTTGTAGCCAATTTTAATGTACACAAAGCTTTTATCTACTTAAAAATTATTAAAGCAGTTAAAGCCTAAAATCAAATGTTTTACCTTCATTTCGCATATTAAAATCTGAATATTCATCATTCTGTTTTTGACAATGATCTGAATTGGTTTTAGCCAACTTAAATTGAGCTTCTATATCTTCTTTATCATTAACTACTTCAGGATCACCATCATCAAAATGTCTATTATTGTCCAAGGAATGAATAGATTTATTTAGTGAAGAAGTTTCTTTCTCATCAAGATGATCAAATGTGATTTGTGTTTGTTTGTCAGATTTCTCTTTGATACTCGACTGGAATAACAGTAAAAGAATAATAGTAGTAATGAAAAGTGTTTTAAAAAACGGACATTTCGTAACAGTCTAATAACTTTCAAGTATTCTCAAATATTTGTGTCTGTTTATATAATGTTTGTGTTGGGAGATAGATTCTAGGTGTCACCACATAAGTCTTAATATTCATATGAGAATCATGTTATGTTATATAGATGAGATCATGAGTCAATTGAAGCTAGACCACCATGGGAAACCTGTAAGCACTGGATGGCCGTTTCGTCATATTGTGGGACTCCTCAGCAGTGCACACTAACGATCCGGTCTCGCGAGATCTCATCTATAAAATTACAAAAATCTCCACAAAACCCCTTTGTGTTTCATGTTTTAATTATTACATTATTGTTTGCTGTTATGACTTTATTAACCTAAATCAATGGGTTATGGATTTAATCCACGTCACAAACATTAACTCCACAACTTGGACATATTCAGCTGATGGATCTTCAACAGTACAAAACAAGTGTTTTATAATCCAATTGTTTATCATAATTGAAAGTATAACTTGTAAACTATAAACTTTCAGTATTTATAGTAAGTTTAGTAAAATATTCTATCATAAACAGTTGGACAGTAATTTGAATGGAAAATATTATCATAAAACATTTTAAACAGAAATACCTTCATTGCTAATTCGGTCATTTTTCTCCATCTAGCATAATCTTTACGCCTACGCCTAAAATATAAAATAAAAAATATATTACTGAAAATGAAAAATAAGTAGTAAGACACACTGTTGCAAAATATCAGTGAATATATGCAACTGAACTAAGTATATAAGTGATTGATTGAGAAAAATAATAAGGAATTTTGTGATTAAACATCTTTTACCATTTAATTCCCATTTTATTAAGTAAGTTTCATCACAATGGCCTAATTTAATCGTGAAATACCTGACGGTTTCAAAAAATACTAATATTATCATGAGTTTCAGAGGTTTTGTGGAGTATGAATCAACTTTCCAGGATCTATTTGTCACAGACTGATCTCGGCAGAGGTCAAAATCATGGATAAAAACTGTTGAGGAGTTCCATACTAGGATAAAACAACTTCCCAGTTTATCTTCGTTTACAATGATGCTACCAATGATAATAACCTATCACGAATACAATCAGAATGAGGATTGTTAGTTAAATAGACAATGTAATGGCAATCTTTGAGTAAAAGATGATTTAAAATAGTGATTTGTCAACTAAAAAATGTTTTGGAATTCTGAAAATAAGTTTTGTCACAAGATGATGCTAAATAAATAGAAAACTGGTGAAACATTCGTTAAGAAGTACTTGAAAAGTTATTACAAGTCAGTAAATTACATTTTTAGAAGGGGGTTCTATGAAGATTTTAGTAATTTTATATAGTTGAAATCATGAGTTAATCGAAGCTAGACCACCATGGAAAACCTGGAAGTAGTGGACGGCCGTTTCGCCCTATTGTGAGACTCTTCAGCAAATACCGTCTTAGTGGTGTCGTGATTAAGCGCTCGGACGTGAGACTGATAGGTCCTTGGTTTCAATCACGCGAGTGTGAGATCGTGGATGTACACTGTTGAGGATTCCCTTAATAGAACGAAACGGCCATTCAGTGCTTTCAGATTTTCCATAGTCGTCTAGCTTCAATTGACTCATGATTTCAACTATATAAAATTACTGAAATCTTCACAAAACCAGTTTTGATTATCTTTATAGAATAGTGTAATTAGAATTTAATTTATTTAAACTATGATTTAACCACAAAAATGAAGGACAATGAATAGATGATTATTTAATTTTTGCTCTTCAAACTTATGTATAAATTTTTAATAAAATATTAAATTATTAAATATCAAGTTGACCTTGATGACCGTATGAAAACAAAAATTTTGATCCTGGAAAAGGTAATTTCTTATTCTTTCTTTTCTTTGTTTAAATAAATTAATTTCATATCTATATTTATTATTAATTTAAACAACACGAAATATGATCTGATTACATTCCAGTTAAGAATTATCAGATTTAGGGGGGGGGTTTGTGAAGATTATAGTAATTTGAATAGTTGAACTTATACTGAAATTATACTTGAAATTATACTGTAGGATTGGTATGAAATGTCTATTTTTTTTCCAGATATAAGCACACTTAAGATTGGATTTTGATATTGTGAGTAATTCTTCGTGTTGAATGTTGTTTCGGGTGTATCTCCTATTGGTTTGATTTTTGTTCCTATGTTTCTGCATAATGTTCTTGATTGGTTGGTAAATTGGATTGATTTCAATGTGCTTGTTTATTGTTGATTGACCTGAGTACCAAGCTTCTAAAAATTCTCTGGTGTTTTTGGAATTGACTCTATCCAAAATCTGTACATTTTTCCAGTCGAATGTGTGTCCGTAGTTGACCACGTGTATTGATATGAGTGAATACATGTCGTGGCGTTTGACTGCTAATTGATGTTCGTGCAGGCGAAGATAAAGGGGGCATCCACTTTGTCCGATGCAGTGTTTGTCGCAGTTGGCACAATTTATTTTGTAGATGATGTTTGGTTTGTCTTCTTTTGTCATTTTATCCTATGGTTTGCATAAGATTCAATGGAGGGATTTTGTTGGTTTGTGGGTAACACCTATTCCGAAGGTTTTCACACAGCCTCATTGTCGTTTCCGATACTTCTTTTATGTATGATAGGGTGATCTTTTTGTAGATTTCTATACTTGATTTCGTTTCTGATGATGGGTGCGACTGGTATTTTTTGATGAAACTGATTGGATAGCCGTTCTTTTGGAGGATGATTTTCAGGTATTTTTCTTCATTTTTTCGTGCTGTAATTGTATTGCAGTGTGTTCTCGCCCTCTTGAACAAAGTTTGTACACAGTTGATTTTGTGAGTTCTTGGGTTGTTGCTATTGTAGTTGAGAATTTGATCGATGTGGGTCGGCCTCCTGTGCACTTGTGTCTCCAGTTTTCCTGTGTCGATTCTGGTGATTAATATATCTAAGAATGATAGCTTGTTGTTCGACTCTTGTTCCATGGTGAACTTCATGTCGCTGAAGACGTTGTTGATCTGCCTCTAGGTGTTTTCTAGTTCATCCTTTTTGACGATGACGAATGTGTCGTCTAGATAGATAGATAGATAGATTCATACATTGTACATGGAGTATAAAATAAATTGCATTAATTTCATTTATTTCAGCCTGTAATTTAACAACATAGTTCGAGTGGTTCACACGTGAGAGTATGGACAAACAGGCATTTAGTCTACTGAATATCAAAAATATGTGATTTCTTTTCCATTCGTTCATTTCTACTTCAGACTCACTGAGTGTGACTGCTTGTGACTAAGTTGAATAAAGTATTATCTAGTCTATACTCACTCTGGTTCTTTATTCTGGGTCGTGAATCTTGGATCTGACATAACGTGACTAGTCTCATTATCGTATTATCGTATTATCTTAGTATCCCTATGAGAGAGAGAGAGAAATATTTCAAACCATTTGTCATATCAAATACTCGATTGGACAAATATAGATCGTAACATATTACTATTTCTTCCCAGTATAAAGCGTGTATAAAGTCGTTAACCTTAAACCTTATTCCTAAATTCCTAATCTTAAGGTTAAATCTTTAGTCACTAGCTAGGAGGAATTTATAAATGTCTAAGATACTATTTTGATCCATCTTAGTGTTTGAGAGCACAGGTGTTCTATATCTATGTGGACGAATTTGAACATATTTGTTATCATTTTGTATAGGAAGAGTAACCTTAGGATGAATTTTTTTTACCCTTTATAATATTATTGTTATCTTTTTCCATGAACTAATTATACACGAAAGCTGTTTTCTATTTCTACAACAACTAGCTATCATTCATTGGGATTGTTTTACGTTCATCTCTATAAATATGTCCTTATCGTTTATCAAACCGTATTAAATTGAAATGATGATCATCGATTCTGTCGTTGTTAATTCTACTGAACAAAATATCATAAAATAGGTATCGTTAAGAAGTTCTACTGATTTATTAGTCAATCAGAAATAAGATGTAGAATGTAGAATTAACAGCTGGTAATACGATCAAGGTTAAGGATTTCAGGTTTATGATTTACAACTTATAATTAGAGTTAGGATTTACGATATGATATAGACTTAAGAATTAACATTTAGGGTTGAGGAACAGATTTAAGGTTAGAATTATGACGCTTAATCGAAAATCTTAACTCTAACATCATGAACCTAAGCTGGAAATTTATTCTGAACTCTAACAGTTAAAAACCTATCATAAACTTTGAAAAGTTCATTAACCATATGGAAATTACTTATTTCCTCCTTCATCTGGAGCTCAAAAAAAACTGTCAGCCAACATCAAAGTCAGAATTTTCAGTACGGACATCAAGACAGTTCTACTGTATGAAGCTGAAACTTGGAGAACTACTGTAACCATCATCAAAAAGGTATAGGTATTTATAAACATTTATCTACGCAAGATACTCATTATCCGTCGACCGGATACAATCAACAACAATATACTGTGGCAGGGAACAAGTCAGCTTCGTGCTGATGAGTAAATTAGCAAAAGATGCTGGAAATGGATAGGAAAAACATTGCAGAAATTATTAAAAAGCACCGAAAAACAAGACTCAACATACATTCCTCTAGAGAAAATGAAAAGAAGCAGACCAAAGAACATATTGCACCGAAAATTAGAGGCAGGCATCAAAAGAATGAAACGCACTTAGAAACAACTGGAAAAGAAGGGCCTAGAACAGAGTTGTTTGGAGATCTCCGATCGAAGCCTAATGCTTCACAAGGGTTAACAGCGTAAGTAAATAAATTATCTTTCATTTATTCATACTTGTCACTTTCTGATAGGCTAAAACAAGTCAGTACCTCAAGGTCATTCAGCACATAATTTAATCACATTCAGTAACATAATTAATATAAAATTCAAAAATTTTACACTTTCTCATCCCTGTAGTGAATTCAAATTCTGTATTTAAAAACAAAAAAAACACACTTACCTAGAAATATACCAAGCTAAAATTAACATTCCTAAAAATGTGACCACAATAAAAATTAATGCAGTCAATGTCATTGCACGATCAACTGATCTTTTAATGATAAAACCTTCATTATTCTCATCATTATTTATATTTTCTAAAATGAAAGAAGAATAAGAAACATCATTATTTCTGTGGAATTTCTTTCTTAATATTCATAACTGATTTCTGATCAATCTTTGTTGATCTATGGGTATCTTGTAGGAACCATCTTGATACATTCAATCTTCTCTGTATTGTTCCAATTTTAGTATATGTACAGCCCAAATCCTCTGGTACGACCGAGATTAGGGAAAGTCCGCTCTCCCTCTCGAAATACTCTCATATGGCCAAGCGTATATAGCCTCTGACAGGCAAGTCCTACTCATTGCCTTCTCGTGGTGGGGATGTTGCTTACGAAATTGAGGGGACGAAAAGCGAATGTCCGACGCTTTAACCGGGTTGATGGACACGGAAAATCAACCTAGGGGAAATGGAAAACCCTGATTCCAAACCAATGGTGCACATGGGCTCTAGTATCCTGAAGGAACAAATGGAGTATGAATCAAACGTCAGTCACCGACTATCATGGGACTGCATCTTTTTACGATGCTCCACTGACTTGTGGGTTAGACCTTTAGGTCAAAGGCTCCGAGTGTGGTCCGCTAAGAAAACCACTTGTTTCGGTTCAGGCACCTGGGCAGTATCGCAGCCCTCACACAAATCAAATAAGATTTGTGTGGCGCATATTTATCTGGTGCTTCGTTTTACCAATATTTATGTGTATAAATAAATAAATAAAGATACATCCAATATATTGAAACTTGTATAGAATAGATGGAATTGTGACTAAGAGTGGAATCCAAGACTTACGTTTCGTCTTATATAGGATTTGTCAACTAGATATGTTTATATGTCAATATTGATGTCCACAAATTAGTTCCTAATGGATATCATGCTGATGTATTTAAAACGAAAGGTATAGTGTTTATGTCTCATTGGGAACATTAATACGATTTAATGCGATTTTTAAATTCCCTAGCCAGCCACCATTCCATCTATAGTAAAATTAAAGTACATTTGATTATTAAACCGACCTAATAGCACTTAAAATTGATAGTTAATATTTATCAAATAAAATAGAATTAAATCCATTAAATTTATTATGACTAAATGAATAAATGGGAATAGGAAACTTTGAAAACTATTCTCCCATGAATCAATTTACATATATATTTTTTAATATGTATTGATTAAATGAACAATTTAGGGTTTTCCTATACGTTCCTAGTTGTGAGTCAGTCAGTCAGCTACAACGTAGGACCAGGCACATTTATGCATCTCTCCAAGTTGCCATACCTTGTTAGTACAACAAGATGAACACCGAATTCATAGAAGTAGTTAGTTTAGTGGTGGTAGCATATAAAAGATAGGTTGTATATAAGGATATAGTATAGGAAGGAAGAAAGTTATGAAGCAATTTTAATCTCACAGTTTAAGGAAAAACAGAGAGTGTATACACCTATGCCATTGTAATCGATTCTGAGCCATGTCACTTAACCAAGTAGTCTGCATCTACTGACGTGGCTCAGACTAGAAGTTAATCACTTCAAGCTTTGATGCCACGTTTTGATTTGGCCGCCCCTAACTCTCTTCCAACTATTCCCAATACTATTCAGTATAGCTCGACAATACTAGTCGGCATAGCCAGTTGTAAGTTTCCATTTGATTTACTAAATACTGTAATATCTTCTTTTGTCCATAGGTCATTGTTAATTTCTTATGAACCTATTAGTCAAATTGTTATCACGAAAATCATAACTATGTACATATTGTGAATTATCATTTATGCTGTGCTATAATCTTGTATAATGTGTATTGAATTTTGTGCTTTTCAAAGCTTGAATAATATAAGGTGTCGTGGATGTGCTACATTCTCTGAGCTGGATGGTTTAATCGCGAAGCTGTCATTGTTATTTTAGATGACATCTGTTGTATTCCGGGAAAAAAGATGACAGATGGTTAAGGCGTGATATTGTCTAGTTGATATCACGAACTATATTGCTAGTGGGACCAGTGACCAATTTCATGAATTTACACACTCACAAATGAATGACAATCGAAGAATTAATACTTATTGGTAATCGAGTCCCTTTATAAATCAAGAGTTAATTAGAAAATATTGATAATTGACAGATTAGTTCTCTGTTGTACCCGACTCAACTATTGCTAAAAACTCATAAAATAATGTATTGAAAATCCCTGACCACACAGCATGCCACATTGGAAGTCACGATTTAAACGCCATATGTGGTTGAGGACGGAGCATACAATACATAGTGAAGTAGCAAGAATTAAAGAATAGTAAAGTGTTTAAAAATAATTAATAGATCCACTGGAAGCTTACAATAAAGGCAATATATAAATGTAATAATAGGGTTATCTACTAACTAAACACTAAAGATACAATCAATAATTATCCGGAAAATAGCTCAGTAAGTTTTAACTTTTCCAATATTCGTTTCATTATAACAACATCATCAGAACATAATTCAAAGAGAAGTGAACTAACAAAAGTCCATCATAGTCGATTTTCAGGTTGTTTTATTGATTTGGAATTCAACTGGTTATTATCCATAACTACGTGACCATTTTTTTGAATGTTTGCTTTGATTTTCTTCTCCTTCGACTTCACTCTCTAGCTTTGCGATTATTAAGTCAAAGAATTAATTATTGTACAGTCAGAGATGAGGTCATGAGAGTTAACAATCAAAACAAACATGCAAAGAACGATTAGACAGTTATGAATAACAACCAAATGAGTACCAGGTCAACAGAACACAATGCTGGTCAACTGTAGAGAGATTTTACTTGTTCGCTTCTCTTTAAAGTATTTGCTGGTTATGCCAGTGATTAAAACATTTAGCTTAGAGAACACAAAAACTCTAAAATTTTCATCCTAAGGCACAGAAATTCTCAATTATCTTAAAAAACGGTATCTGAGAAGTTTGCTTATCGTTTTACTTGGTAGTTTGAATATCACAATATCGTATGGTGCATGATATACTGGGTTAATCAAACTTGGTTCGAATGATAAGTGATAAACGATGGCAGGACAACGTTATGGTTCAAAATTTGGTTTCATAGTTACATGAACAAGACATACGCTATTGGTTGAAAATAATGACTTAATTTTCTTAAACAGATAGTTATATCAATTTCAATAGTTGAGATCATGAGTCAATTGAAGCTAGACCACCATGGAAAACCTCGAAGCATTGGAAGGCTGTTTCGTCCTATTGTGAGTCTCCTCATCAGTGCACATTCACAGTCCCGCCTCGCGGGATTCAAACCCAGGACCTATCAGTATCATGCGCTGTAGACCAACTGTGTTAATGTCTAATTTCATCCGATCCACAAAATTGAGCGAGACTGATAGGTCCTGGGTTCGAATCTCGCGAGGTGAGATCGTGGATGTGCACTGCTGAGGAGTCCCACAGTAGGACGAAAAGACCGTCCAGTGCTTTGAGGTTTTACATGGTGGTCCAGCTTAGATTGGCTCGCGAATTTAATTGTGAAAAGATTTATAGTTGCAGCTATTTGTTTTTATTATGTCCTTAATTACTTCTGTTCAATACATTTTATTTCTATTGTTCCCCTTATCCTATTGACTGTATTAATTCACGCTTTTTACTAATTGTTTTGACTTGTGTTTTAGATACAGATTAAATCGGGTGGTTATACTGCATAGAATTGGCTTAAGCCTCATGAAGGCTATGTTTGCATCAGTCTAGGGATTAACCCAGAAAGCAATCCGTTAGGAAAGTAGGTCCTATAATGTACTTATATATATATGCACATAAGTATAAGGTAATATATTTATCTTAATTATAAGGATTCATTCATTATGGTTTTGTATATGTACATTATAAATCCAAATATGTTGTCTCGTTGATATTTTTCATGGTAAATTTATGCATACACAATGTAAGTGGCTATTCAATATGACATTCTTTTGCTATTTAAAACAAACTCTAATCCCATCCTATTGGCAACTAAAACACAGTACAGTGTAGCACCATTGGATGCCAGCCAGCTCAGTGGTTTAGAGGCTAAGCGTCCTAGGTCCGAGTCCCGTGTGCCGAATCATAGATGCTCAGTGCTGAAGAGTCAAACACTACGACGGAACAACCTTTCAGTGCTTCCAAGTTTTCATTAGTGGATTAGTTTAGATTGACTCATGAATTCAGCTATTAATCTACTACATTCTCCACAAATTCTCATAATAATAAAACACTGATTTATTTATCGTTTTGTCAATAAAAATTATTTTCTATCTATTCAATAATAAACTGATAATAGTGATAACAATAAAAGGAAGAAGAAAATGTAAGATTTTATTGATATGAGGGGAAGAAGAAATAAATAAATCATTATATATTTGCATCAATAATAATTCTACAATAAATCATTTTAATAATCATTGCTTAGCACTTATCAATCCTTGCCGGGTAGAAACAGGTATCTACCTTAGAAAATGGATGAGTGGTTGCGCAGTTATTCATAGATCAGTGGATGTTAGACGGCAACACTGTTGGATGCCGGCTCAGTGGTTCTAGAGGTTAAATGTTTGCTCACGAGCCTTAAGGTCATGGATTCAAGTCTTGTGTACAGATTCGTGGATACGCACTGCCAAGGGGTTCCATATTAGAACGAGTTGGCTGTCTAGTGCTTTCAGATTTTCAGTGGTGGTCTAACATCAATCGACTCGTGATCTCAATCAAAAACTTAACAATCTTCACAATACTATACTGATAATCCTTATCAATTAAACAATTCTACAGTGGAAAAGTGGCTATCAGGACTCAGTGGCCGAGTGGATAACGCGAAGGTGTTTGAAGCGGACGGTACTGAGTTCGAGTCCCAGAGTGAATATCAACTTTGAGATGCAGGTACATCCATATGACGAGTCCCAAATCGAACGGAACGCGCACCCTGGATTCCACTGTTAGCCACTACCCATCTTTGCTTACAATTTTACCTTGGGTTAGAAAAATAATCAGAAAGATAAGATCAATTTCAATTAATTCTAGTTATGAATTAAAATTTAATTTGGAAGAGAGATATTCATTTTAAAACAGTGGAGTGTATGAAAGGTTATAAGTATCATATTAGTGTTTAAAGAAATTTGTTTACATTTTAAATGTTTTGTTAAGTTGGATACTTAAATTGTTCATCGAATGGATGGATGTTTCATTGAAGATAATATAACTTAGTGATTAATGTAAATAACGATTGAAACTAGTAAATTAGTTTTATAATTAGGAGTAAGATAACAAGATTTGTATTTATATTTTTATAATGCTCAGTTTGTATTCCAATAAGAGTTCAGTAAAAATTATGTCCCAGAGTGAATATCAACACTGAGATGCAGGTACATTCAGCTGACGAGTCCCAAATCAGACTAAACGCGCGTCCTGTATTCCACTGCTAGCCACTATCCATCTTTGCTTACCATATTTGTGAATTTAGGCTATATTGAGACAATACGCACAGTATGCACATATGGCCAATAAGAGACTGACCAGTTGCAGTCCTAAGCATCAATGGAAATATTCAAACAAACAATACTAAGTGAATTTATGTAAATTTAGTTTGGTAGATGATTGAAAATAATGAATGTATGTGTTATGTAACTAAGCAATGAGTATGATATTATGTTTGGATTGAATTGTAAACAATATTTGTTACTAATGTAGATTGTACATGAGATGGCAATTACTTGCTTAGCTTATTTTATTGATTCACGGTGTAGTCAGGAGTGTGTGTGTATGATTTCTCAGAATCCGACATGTATTATCATTTAACCAATAGGGAAATATGTTTCATTTATGTATGTTTTGTGCAGTATGGGGAATTATTTATGCAGATAATTGAACAGCTTACAGTTTATGGAAATTCAGTCGTGATTCGCAATAGTTATTTCGTCTGTCAGATAACCGTTGTATATAATAATGTTGTTGACTCAATGCAATCAGCCAACCAGTTATTAGGTAGAGGTCAATTAATTATAGTCATTAAGTATAGTGTTAGCGAGTTTGACTCTTAAAAATTTTCTCTGATAATCTGAATACTAGTCAGATAAACATTGAACTAATATTATCCGCAACATCTTCAATGTTAGATGCTCGTGTCGTTTCCAAGAAATTTTGTTCATCTTTTAGTTCATTTGAATTGACTAGAATAATCTGTAACTGTCTTCTATGAACATAATACTATAACACAAATAACTCGGGGTATGATAAAAGCATAGACATTATAAACGTGATGGTGTTAAAAGAGATGTATTATGCAAAGTACAACCCAGTATGAAACATTTAGCATAAGCTATAATAGATATTCAAAGACCCTAGTTATTGATTCAAATCTCATTTAAACTGAACTTAACCTAATAGAAATGAAATATTGGCTAAATAAGAAGTTAATCTTGATAACTAAACTAATGATACACTAATTTACCACTTTTTCAAAAGAAAGTTCTTGCCTATATTTTGTTACGATGATAGTTTTCAAATTTATTGATTATTACTTTATATTTCAGATGATTATTCCATTTGTTCAAAAGCATATTGATCAATAACAATGGACGAAAACTATAATCGAATGTTTTCACTTCAAAACTTACTTTGTATTTCTTCAACTTCAATTTGTTTATCTTTGCCAGGTGCTTTATGTTCACATTGGGGTCCATAGAATGGCATAAAACAGCTGGAATGGAAAAGAAAATATAAAGATCAATAAAATGAGTTGTATAATTTTTGGTAAAAAGTAATAGATCAGAAGGAGTTTTGTGGAGATTTCAGTATTTCCATTGTTGAAATCATGAATCAATTGAAGCTAGACCACCATCGAAAACCTGGAAGCACTGGACGGCCGTTTCATCCTATTTTGAGACTCGTCAGCAGTACGCATCCACGATCCCGCATTCGTGAGACTCGGACCTGTTGTAGAGATAATAACTCACTGAAGACAATTGGTGAACTGTTTCTCAAGCATCGTGGATTGGTTGAAGTTAAACAATAACACCGTTGGATGCCGGCTCAGTGGTCTATCGGTTAAGTGCTCCGGTGCGAGACTGGTAGGTCCTGGGTCCGAATCTCGCGAGTGAGGGATCGTGGATGTGCACTGCTGACGAGTCTCAAAGTAGGACGAAACGGCCGTCCAGTGCTTCCAGGTTTTCGATGGTGGTCTAGCTTCAATCAGCTAATGATTTCAACAATGAAAAAGTAATGAATTATTTGTTGTGGTGGTTTTATAGGGAATTTTGTACAATTATAAGTCAGTTTACATTAACATTTCAGGTCTGGGGATATGGTAATTTTCTTACGACATATTATTGTCCTATGTTTCATCCTGCATGGAATTGTGGGTTAGTATTGCATCAAAGTTCCAAACTAGGATGGAAAAGCATTCCAGTGTAGCGAAGTGAAGCTAATGTTCTGCCATCAGGAAAAGGGGGAAGTAAAAGTTGACAAGGTCAAGATCTATATTCTAGTTTTTATTAGAACCTTAAAATCAGTGTTTAAGCTACTATACTACAATGTCCACTTTAGTCCAAACTGTAAGCGATTACTACTACTAATTCTGATGCAGTACATGTGGCTTATAGGTAGTGTTATGTCCTTGATCCGTCTACCTAATAATGTACAGGAGAGAAGTTGTCTCAATCTAGATTAATGCATTGACATATCAGGCTAACTGGTTCAACCTTAAGGCTAGAAATGCGTGATTGCAAATTAAGACTAACTGTCTTCTGTAGACAGACGAAAACGATTCTATCAACTGATTACTTGACAATCACAAGCAAGAGAGGACGAGTCAGCTGGAACATTATTCTATCTATTCCCGACTTCAACTCCGATTCAGATGAGCTCAAAATGATACATGAAGAAATAGATAAGTAGCAAAACCACGACTCACAAACAATTAGGAAGATACAATTATGTCCAAATGAGGTATCAGGGTAGAAAAATAACGTACCAAAGATTACGTTCAAATTTCAATAGCTTTGGAACAGAAAAGGATATGGCAATGAACCATACATCAAACGAAAGCTTATGATTTGTAGAGTAAACTATGGACAAAACTAAATGTTAGTGTTTTGCAAGCTCTGAATTAAGTGAAATAACGTCCCAAAAAATATCTTCAGTTGTTTTTCATCGCTTCTTGTTTCTTAGTTCATGTCATTTTCATTTATTAACTATATACATAAAGCATAATCGTGAAAAATCTCTAAGGTCTTAGTTAGATTTTGCAAACTGAAAATTCACATGATCACATTGTTTGAAAGTAGTAGTAAACAGCTCGTTCAGTGGGTTTCAACACAGAAAAGGACCATTTCAATGTAACCAGTCAGATCGAATACCCATTAACACTTTGCAGCTGTTTTGTACCGGTATGGAACTCTTGAACAGTGCCTAACCACGATCTTTCCAAAGAGGATCGAAGACACGACATTGAATCCAACCATGTTCGGTATGAGGTATTTGCACAATACCACAAATTGATCAAAGTTGGGCATTAACACCATTGCTAGATTGAATGTCTTGGTTTGGATTCGCTATGATAAGTTCATAAATGTGGACTACTGAGAAGTCTCATACTAGAATGAAACGATCGTTTAGTGCTTTCAGGTTTCCTATGATGGTCTAACTAAGGTCAGTTCATGATTTTACAATTAAGGAGTGGAAATAGATAGCAATCGTCTAGTAACATTTTAACTGTTCACAAGTAATATAATTATCATAAGCAAGTATCATCTATGTATCGTTGAATAGTGTATGTTTGCTATTTAAATAATCTTTCAGAATGACTAGAGAAATTCTAGAGAGCGGGTTCGTGGATGCGCACTACTGAGGAGTCCCACAATAGGACGAAACGGCCGTCCAGTGTTTCCAGGTTTTCCATGGTGGTCTAGCTTCAATTGACTAACGCTTTCAACTATGAATTCTAGATGTCTATTGTTTCTCATAACTTCTTTATTTCTCTATTCTCATCAGCATACCTAACCATTGAGTTTATTCCCTTTCAAATTTATTACACAATTAAACATGAAAAAACTTTTAAATTGTCATTATAATCTAATAAAAACAGTATCTTTGTTCACATTTATTCTGTTTCCTCTAAAACAATTCATCATATCGTTATATAAAATTGTTTAAACGGTAAAGCGTCTAAGAAAATCGCCTTGTCTATGTCGTCAACAACATTCTTCAAACATTCTAAAACTTTCCAGCAATTAAGTCATTCATTTAGTTTGTAACAAAATTGTATAATCAACCATGACTGGTGACAATTAAATGAAAAAAATATATATACTCCAATTGAAACTAATAAAAAAAAACCAAAGAAAAGAAAAACAAGTTTCAATTAAATTGATATAATTCATATATTGAAGGTTGTCTGGTTACATAATATTGAAATGGTTTAATTGTAACCAGTTGGTTGGACTTAATGATGATGATAATGGTGGTGGTGATGATAATGATGATGATGACGATGGTAAGTGAGACATGCAGGACTAAGAACTGTTGGATACTAGCTCAGTGGTCTAAAGGTTAAACACACGCACGCGAGACTGAGAGATCCTGTGTGATGGAATCGTGGATATGCACCGCTGAGGAGTCCCACAATAGAACGAAACGGCCATCTAGTGCTTTCAAGTTTTTCATGATGATCTAGCTTCAACTGACTCATGATTTTAACTGTTGATATTACCCCCTTCTGATTCTAAGCATAATAATCTGATATTTAGTTTCTTTTATTAATGAATTAAATGAAAATTAATTAAACATTTTTAATGTTTATTTTAGGCATGAATTCTTGCTTCCATATTTTGTTTTTTCTTATTATATATGGTAACATACATATTGTAACTAGGTAGGAATTACATCATACTGTTGAATTTATTATTACGTCATAGATGAGTAGTTATCAAGTGAAGTTAAGGTATACAGTTTTTAACTTTGGTGACGAAAATATTACTTATTAATTAGTATCAGTAGACTTTCGTAATAATTACTTACGTCTACTGAACAGTGTTGATTAGGAACTAGAAAAAACAAAAACAAAATTGAGTCTAAGACAGATGATAATGAATAGTATTTAGAAAAAAAAACAATTGAGGTAATTGTTTGGTGACATGGTCCATTGTGTCATAAGACAAAATTTACAGTTATTTAACTGAATAGTTATGTTATTTAAGTATAAAACATATCATTAAAGATTAATTACAAACAATGCAGTCAATTTAATTTAAAAGAGTAATTTCATAGTTTACAGCACAGATTGATCTTAATTGGATGACCACTAGAAAGAAAAAACAGAAAGCATTGGACAGTTGTTTTGTCACGATTATATTCATAAACTCATTAGGGCTTAATTGCGGAAAATGATTCCGCTAGTTCTTATGAGAAACTGTGAATAGTAGAATTTAACCATGTCTAGCGTAAGATATTTATTCACTGGTTATATTAAAACATGATTGAGCAGTTACATGAATTAATCGAAGTTAGATATATAAATTATTGAATTCGATTTCTATGGTCTAAAGGTTAAAGGCTTTCTACATAACCTGGGACTAACTTTCTCAAAGACTCTATGGAGTTGCAAATATGGACTACTGTGACGTCTTATATTAAGACGAAACAGCTGACCACTGTTCTCTACTTCCTAATGATTGTTTGAACAAGAGTAGTTAGTGATGATACTTACAAAATTCAACAATCTACACTAACCCTAATGGTTAATATCATTTCAATTCTCTGAAAATCATTTCCATAAATTGAGATTTTCTACTGTTCTGAACAAAACTGTCCTCAAAAAAAATTGTCAATTTTTCAGGATTCTTTAGTCAACAAGAAGTTAATGTTGGGATGATCTTGCAAATTTCTTGCAATAGACATGACAATCTCAGGAAACATTAAGAAGCATTTTATCCAGTCACCGTCGACTAGTAGTTTTGCTAGAAACATCGCGAAAATGAAAAGTCACATGTAGAGATTCTGATTGGCTGATTACTACACTGCTACTATGTTTAGTAGCATTCTAGAATTTTCAGGAAAACCCAAAGACTTCTAAAATACTATAAAAACCGTATATTTTCTGTACATAAATGAACCTTTGGAGTAAAGTGATTCCAGCATAATTTTTGCTTTTTCTCTCGCGTTCAAGTCGTTTTGTAGTTCTAGCTTGGGGATACAATACGAGCTTAGGATTCGAATATAGCATACAATCAACAAGACGTATCAGTTATAAACATTATTCCTGAAGTTCATATCAATGAAACTAACACAAGATTCTACAATTTCCATTAATCTGTTAGCGAGTAGTAATCTTTAGTAGTTTAACCATTAATGCTTATGAAAAGCTATCGATCATATTGGCAACTTTTTCAGTAAGCTGACTTATTCAGTATCATAGTGTATCATGTTTGTATTAATCTAGCTGGAAAGAAATACTGTGGTGTGAGCTACTGATATCGATATAAGTAGTATATATGGTGAGTAAGGAATAGAATATCTGACAGCAGAAGATTGAGAAGATCAAAAAGAGAAGAACAGAAATAAAAAGCAATTTGTATGGAAATCCAGGAACAATGAAGCTTGAGGCAATTGAAGAACATTTTGCAAATAGTGTATCATAGCATGGTTTTGTATTTTACCAAGTAACATTGTAATTTGTGCTAAATACATAGTTGGTTGTCCTCA